TGTTTATCCTTCATTATAATAAATTCCTAGATTATATTTTTACAGTTGCATAAATTTTATTCATTTAAGGCAAACATAAAAGACTTGATTAAAAATTTAACTAATTTTTTCAATAAATATATATATATATATACTTTGACTAAACATATTTATAAATTTTTGTAACAAAGATATGTTTAAAAATTTTGAATTATAAATTTAAATAATTTATAAAATCTTTTAAACTTATATTATTTAAACTCTACAATAAACAAAACTATGTATTTGAAATATGTTTTTACAATTTAAAAGAAATCAAAGTAAATAATCTCTAATGAATATGATAAAATATTAAAATTATAAAATTTTATGATTTAGATCAAAATAATAAATTTTGTAACATATTAGAAATTTAAAAACTATACGTATTAGAATTATTTTTTATTTTATAAGATATATTTTCTTGAAAAATATAAATGTCTAAATAATTATTAAGTTAAATTATTAAGTTAAAAAGGGACATTTTGATTAAAAAATAATTTAAAGTCAAACTTAATAGTTAACTAACGATTTCGGTGAATGGAAATTGAATATTAAATATAGGAGGGAGATTTGTGTAACATATATTTTAATTATAAGGAAATTTTATATACATTTTCAAAATAGAAGAGAGGTTTCTATAATTGAAATAAAATAGAAGGGTGATCAGTGTATTTTACTTTTAATTTTATTTGGTTAGCATTGTTAATAGTAGCTCATAGCACAAATGGTGCAAATTTCAGGAGTTGATAATTCTATTAGAGTAAAATTAAATAATTTAATTAAAAAATACATAGATACTAAATTAAAAATTTAAGAAAAATAAAACTATTTGTAAAAGGGTTTTTCCATTGTTTTTGAGGTCAAAAACATCATAAATGCTTCTTAAAATTCTAATGGAAAATTGAAAATATCACAACTTATTTTTCTTGTAATTACCCAGCTCTTCCACCATAAAGAACCCCCAAAGGGAAACGCACTTGCTTCAGGATCGCGTCCGATTCCGCCGGTGCCCTTTTGCTATTTAAATAGGTCCATCCTTAACATAACACTCAATTTAGAGGGATTAAAAAAATTAAATAAATTATTTTAAAATATTATTTTCTTATTTTTAAATTAATTTGTCTAATTTATAGACTGATATATAATCTAATAATATACATAAATATTTTAAAAAAGATAATGTAATATATGTCATAATTAAAGAATTTTGTTTTTAAATTTTTTTTATTTTTTTAAATTAGTTAATTAAGTTGAAAAGGAGTATCAACACTCTTTAGAAGAAAGGACACGCAAATAATTCTCCTAGACCGTACAACGTGTTTTCCCCCCTAATAATAATATGAACCGCAGTGTCCGGGTCATTCTACGTTGACTTGACTCCACTTTGTGGCCACTCCTCCCAACTAAAGCTTCAGATCTGCTTCTTCTTCTTCTCCTTCATAGTTTAACAAATCTCCTAATTTCTGCCTTCTGGTAATTTCTACGGAACCAGTGCTCATCTCATCATAAGCTCATCAGATCTGAATGGCCTATATCTCATTTGCATGGTCCAGATTTAAAATCTTTAATTAATTATTTTTAAATAGAAAAAACTATTTTTTGAAAAAATGATAGTTAAGAGATCATCACTATTTTAGATTCTATACATATTAAAATAATTATTTTAAATAAATAAAAATAAAAAAGAAATCAAATCTAAACTGCCCAAATGAGATATGGACAGTTCAGATCTGATTAGCCTATGGTGCTGAAACTAGTTCATAATTTCTACTGCTTTCTCAATTTCTTGTTTTACTCTATTATCTCTGCAGTTTCCTTTGTATTATATGTGTTTCTCGACCAAAAACATGAAAAAGAAAACTGAAAATAAAAAATCTCAACCAAAGACTTTGTAGCCACTCCTTCCAACTAAAGCTTCAGATCTTTTTCTTCTTCTTCTTCTCCTCCTCCATTCACAAGTCTCCTACTACTTTCTCCCTTCTACTAATTTCTACTACTTTCTCAGCTTCTTCTTTTACTTCATCATCCTTGCAGTTTCCACTTTCTGATTTCATTTTTCCTTACTTTCTGAATTTACTGCTTTTGCAACTTCTGTTGGCTCTTAAATCTTCTTTCATGGTTTCACTGTTCGCATCGCTCCTTGCTAATTCTTTCCTTCCTTAACGTCTTTTGTGCACTCTGGGCTTTGGTTGTATTTCCTGATTTCTGTTTTCTCTCTGTCTCACCCATATTAAAACAAAAGTTCTTAAGCAAATCCTGAATTTGCTCCTTTTGCCTTTTTTTTTCTGGCTCTTCTTTGTTGTGATCATTTTCAACGATATTTTTCTGGTTTTGTGATATTTCTTCAAGAAAAAAAATCGTAAAAATAATTTTGTTTTAAAAAAAACTGCTTTTTCATCATATTTGTGATATTTTGTTTCTTAGTTGATGTTGTTTTTCCTGTTTAATTTCACAAGTTCATCGTCTTTTTTCGTAAACTTTCACATTTTATAGTTGTCTTCTATTGTTGTGAAGCGTTTGTTTCTCAAGGTTGCTCAAAAACACCATAAAAAGAGAGGTCTCTCATGCTTGATATGGAACGCTGAGGAAAGCTGATTACTATTGGGAGATTGAGGTTTACATAGCCTTGAAATTGCAAAGTTTGACATTGGCCACTACTGTAAGTTTGAAAATAGAGATTTATGCCAAAGTTTGTCGGTGTTTAATTGATCTGTATTTACAAAGTTCAATTTGTTTTTCAACTTTTGCAGCATATTCTTGTGTTTCTGAATATAGACAGCAACCAACCAGAAGAAGAAGAAACCTGTTCCAACTTCCAACCATATTAAGGCAAGTTACTTATTTGGCTTCCCTAGTTTTACATGATGTCTAAACATACCCTCTGGTGTTTTTCTTTTTTTTGGGGTAAGATGGATGGGTTTCATTCCAATTTTCCCAAAATCATAGTTTTTCTAAAAGGAAAAATTAATCATTTTGGTCTTATAATTTTAACTTGATTATTGACTAAACTTTAACTCTGTAAAACTCAATCCATTAAGTATTAATTTTGTTGAAATTTTGACTAATTGTAACTTAGTTCTTGCAGCGTTTGCTATTCGAATCATTAATTAATTAGTCGCTGAGTTTGAAAAAATAGTGTTCACATGAATTAGACATTTAAATTTAATACATATTAATAACACAAGTTTGAAAATATATGTTATGAAATTATATTTTTGAATTAATTTTAAACAGCATTTTTATTGGAGAGAGAGAGATTTTGGCTCAACATGTGTAATTTAACAATCAAAGAATATTTTGGTATATGAAAATAAAATATTAAAAATATAAGGGAAGTTTGTTTTGTATAATTTTCAAAGCATTTTCGCTGTGCTTTGTTCTTGTCTTTCCCTTAAAAAATGTATTTTCGTAATAGCATTCAACAATCTCAAATAGCGCTATTGGATGATGTAGGTGCTATTTTGTAATTCACTTCAATGTAAATGGAATCAGTTTTGGTGCTCATTATTTTTATGAGTATCTTAAGTTTATCAGATCTGAACCATCTATATATCATTTGAACAATCCATATTTGAAATCTTTAATTAATTATTTTAAATAGAAAAGACTATTTTTTTAAAAATAAAGATAGTTAAGAAATTATCTTTAGTTTAAATTTCATCTATATTAAAATAATTATTTTAAATAAATAAAAAAAATCAAATCCTTACTATCCAAAATGAGATCTATATGGTCGAATCTGGCGAGTTCAAAACATTTTAAGCAAAACTGGCCCATATCTCCTTGCATGGAAGGGACTCGCCTAATTTTATTTATACATGCAAAGCAACAATATGTGCATGGATTTCCAAGTTGGGGGCCCCACATGCCCCTTTTGTCACCTTCACCTGATACGCTTGTGTTTCAAATCAACTTTAAAAGAGTGCCTTCGCTTTAATTGCCGAGGGTCTCATTCATTGACTCCTCTATGCACAAGAGACTTCGCGTTCTGCCCCTCCCAGAGCCTCATGTCTGCTTCTTCTTCAGCATTTGCTCAGAAATTTTTTTTTTTGGATTTTTTTTTTCTTCCTTTTCTGGGCATTTTTCACTAATTTCTGCTATGTTTTTGTTCGTTTTCGTCCGTCTTCTTTCATAACAACACAGCATTCCTTCTCCTTGTTTATTGATTTCTCAACTTGTTCTTAAACATTTCTTCTGCAAATTTTGTTTTCTGATTTTTATTTTTCTTTCTCTTTTTCACATTTAAAAATAAAAAAAATCCTAAGTTTTCTCCTCTTGCATTTTTTGCTGGCACTTTTCTTTTATTGTGATCATTTTTCTGATTTTTATTTTTCTTTCTCTTTTTTACATTTTCTATTGTTTTCTCAGTTTCTTCTTTCACTTCATTGTCTCTGCAGTTTCCTTTGTGTTTTCCTTTTCTTTTGTCTTTCTTCCACCCAAAAAAAAAAAAGAAAAGAAAAATCCTGAATTTACAGCCTTTTGCATGTTTTTTGCTGGCACTTCAATTCTCCATTGTTAATGCTATCAACACTATTAATGGCAATAACAACACTTCTACCGATTTTGCTAATACTTAAACACAAGGACAGCTGTTTTAAATCTGTTCCTTATTTCATTCAATATTCCTCACGTACAATGCCCCACAACGTCAACAACAACAGCTCCCTCACGTCTCCTCATTGTGAACATTGAAATAAAAGCCGTTTCCTCTGCTTCCCCAGTCTCACTGCTCTCACATGTGACATGTCTCTCCTGTCGCTAAGGACACTGACCAAATAAAGCCAACCTTAAACCTGCCCCACTCTCTTAAACCTACCCCACTCTCTTATGATTCACGAACCACTTTATCATTTTTACTCTATTTTTTGAATTAAACAGGTATAAAATATTTATAAATTTAATCCTATCCATAACTATATCTAATTATAAAATGCGCACTAATTATTTTTGCTATTTCTTTTCAACAGAGCACAAACTAAATGGATACTGTTACTTGCGGTTTGGTTGAGAAGTTCCGAGACGTAGTGCTCGACCTAACTTGGGAGCAGCTTCTTTATCTCATTCATTATCGCAGAAACATTGAGCACTTCAATGAACTACTTGAGGAACTCACCCTTAGAAGATGCTCCATACAACATGAAATAGATCGGGCTACAAACAATGTAGAACAAATTAAAGAGGAAGTTCGTCATTGGTTGGCCAAAGTAGATGAGATATCAGAGACAGGACGAAAGCTTCAAGAAAAGAGTCAGGTACAAACAGAGTGTAGCATAACTTCATGTCCCAACCCTTGGCTACGCTATAAACTAGGCAAAAAGGCAAAGGAGATTGCGAAAGAAGTTGTTGAAATTTGTGGGAAGGGAAACTTTCATGGAGTTTCATATCGTGTTCCTCCGCTGTCAACGGCAGAATTAACCAACAGAGACAGCAATGAAGGGATTGATTCAAGAGTACCAATTATGAATCAAATAATGGAGGCATTACGGAATCCAAGTGTTAATATGATCGGATTGTGTGGGCTTGGGGGTGTTGGCAAGACCACCATAGCCAGAGAGGTTGAAAAGAAGGTGAAGAATCAAAAGATGTTTGAAAAGGTGATCATGGCAACTGTTTCCATAGAATTGAACATTGAGAAGATTCAAGGCCAGATTGCTGATAAGCTGGCTATGCAACTCAGTGAAAGAACTGAAGATGTCAGAGCTTCTCGTTTGTGGGAGAGGTTGAACAAAGAGAAGAATATGCTCCTAATATTGGATGACCTTTGGGAGGAACTTGATTTGCGCAAAGTTGGAATTCCCTTTGTTGATGTTGAAAATTATAGCAGTAAGAATGAAGGCTGCAAAATTTTACTAACTTCAAGGAATAAAAGGCTGCTGTCAGATCTCATGAAATGTCAAGAAATTATCGAAGTGGGTGTTTTGTCAAAGAATGAAGCATGGGAGTTGTTCAAGAGGATTGCCGAATTTTCTATTGAATCAGGAAATCCTGATTTGAAACCTATAGCGGATGAGATTGTTCAAAAGTGCGGAGGCCTGCCACTAGCGATTGCTACAGCTGCCAAGGCATTAAGGGGAAAAAATCTAGATGAGTGGAAAGATTACCTGGCACGATGGAAAAATCATTTAAGGCGAAGTGACACAGGAATCAAAGAGGTGGATGCCTCTTTGAAATTGAGCTATGATCCTCTAAGCCAAGAGAAAAAAACTATTTTCTTACTTGCTGCCATGTTAACCCATGATCCCTCAATTGAAGACCTGCTCATGTACTCTGTGGGTTTAGATATTTTTCAAGGCATAGAGAACATGGAACAAGCCTATGTTGGAATCTCTGCTATTGTGAGTAAGCTAAAATCATTAAACTTATTTATGGATAGCATTTCTAGTCATCATGTTACAATCCATGACGTCTTTCGAGAAATTGCATTAAATACTGCATCCCGTGAATTACATGCATTCATTTTGAGGCATGAAAGCTCGAGAGAATGGCAAGACGAAGATGAGCTAGAACGCTACAAGGGAATTTCCTTGCAAGAAAGTGAGATCAGTGTTGACCTAAGAGAAGAGTTGCATGCTCCAACATTAGAATTCTTTCTACTGCACAACACAAAACGTGACTTGACCATACCCAACATGTTTTTCAAATCTTCGAAAAAGCTAAAACTGTTGGCATTTACCAATGTGCATTTTTCGTCACTACCATCACTCAGTTTCCTACTAAAACTAAAAACATTGTGTCTGCACTCTTGTTTTCTAGAAGATATAACTGAGGTCACAAGGTTGAAGAATTTAAAAGTGTTGAGTCTTGCTTCCTCTAAGGTTCAACAGTTACCAATTGAATTAGCAATGTTGACTTCTTTACAAATATTGAATTTGTCCCACTGCTTCGAACTCAAAGTGATTCCACCAAATGTCCTATCTAGCTTGAAAAAATTGGAGGTTTTGTTAATGGAAAGCAGCTTTGGCGAGTGGAAAGTTGAAGGATCTTGTGAAGTTGATGAAAATGCAAGTCTTGACGAATTAAAGGATTTGCCAATCTCTTCTCTTGATATTCGTATTCCTAATGTCTCTATGTGTCCGGAGCACTTGTTCTTAGATATGAATTTGAAGAGATGCCGAATACTCATTGGAAAACATTGGAACTGGCGGGGAGGCAGTCATGAAAGTTCAAAGATATTGAAAATTGAGCTTGAGGGTAATATCCATTTGAAGCCGGGGGTTCGAAAGTTGATGGAAGGAGTTGAAGATTTGTATTTATATGGATCTAATGGGCTTGAAAATGTTCTTCAGGGTAATGATGGAGGAGGGTTTCCACACTTAAGGCATCTTCAGATCAATGGTAACAATACTATTAGACTGAACTCAGGACATCATGAAGCTGTAACAAATAACATATCCAATAACACGTCCGTGTCACTTTTGAACAAGGTATGTTCAGATTATTTTATTTACATTTTTCTTATTTTATCTTCTTACAAAACTTTGCTTCAAACTTAAATGCAAAAATCATTTTCACTGGAATTGCTTTGCTATTAGGCCGTTAAGGAAGTTTGTAGCTTTCTATTTTTTAATTACTTGAAATTAGGTAATAAAAGAGAAAAGCTAACTCCGAGTATTAAAATAAATAGTGAAGCCTTAAATTATTCGTCAGCCTAAAAGCACGTTAATTTGATATTTTTGAGTATTTTAATATACGAATTGTTCCTGTCACTAAAATATCTATGAGAATTTAGCTTATGGTTTTGATCATTAACCATTGTAACAAAACTTTGGAACCCCTTTTCAACAATACAGTATTTTCATGTTGTTTTAATTATTCTTATTTTTTCTTATTTTAACTTTCCGTCAAAACTTTGCTATCAGGCTATTATGGCATTTTTCAAGTTTGCTCTTCTTATTTTGTTTCTTTTTTTTTTTTTGGTTGTAACGTATCTACAAAAATTGTATTCACTTGAATTACTTGCTTTGGTATTAGGCTTGCTACAATAGCATTTTACAGTTTTTTTCATTTTTCGATTACTTTTTTTTTTGGAACTTTCAGCAATCTCTTGAAAAATATTGTGGCGGTTGAGAGTTTTATCTAGACTTCTAAACAATCTTTCATGAAAAGTAAGCCTACGAACTAAAAGTGATTTTCATTTAATCATATTTTCTGTGAACTGTAGGTGTTGCTTCCAAAATTAGAGATATTGCGATTATCTAACTCAATCGGTTTGATTCCATTGATATGGGAGGACCAACTTTCACACAACTCATTTAGGAACTTGAAAACATTGTTTGTGAAAAGTTGTGGCTTTGTGAAATTGGTGCCCCTTCATGTGCTGAAATCTTTAAACAACTTGGAAGAACTAGAAGTTAGGGACTGTGACACGTTGGAGTTGGTGTTTGATTTTGAAGACTTGAATGATTATAAAGAGGCGGAGTCATCATCAGTGATTGTGCCACTGAAAAAGTTAACGCTTTATACATTGCAAAAATTGAAGAATGTATGGAGCAATCACTATAAAGGAGACGTCTCCTTCCCAAGTCTAAGGAGCGTGCATGTTTCCTGTTGTGAAAGCCTCGCTAGTCTGTTTCCTGCATCTATAGCCAAAGGCATGCTTTGTGATCTTGAAGAGCTTCGAATAAGAGATTGTGGTATAGAGGTGATTGTTGCAAAAGATCAAGTTTCAGAATCTGTTGCTCCTCTGTTAGAGTTTCCCAGGTTGACTTTCCTTGAGCTTTCTTCGCTTAAAAAGTTGAGGAATTTCTATCCGCAGAGACACACATTAGAATGGCCACATCTTTATCGATTATCTATTGAAGGTTGTGATGAGTTGGAGTTATTTGAAAAGGAAGCCTCAAGTTCATTAGAAATACACGAGGAAGGGAGCTCATTAGACTCAAAATATCCTGTACTGTTCCAATGCAAGGTACATCTCTAAATTAGCTATTCATGTGTTATTTATTTTAAAAACAATATAATAAAAGAGCAAAAAATTAACTTTAAGCGTTAAAATAAATAATGAAAGATATTTTGTCTCATAGTCTAAGAGCACGTTTGAATTTGATATTTTTGAGTACTCAAGTGTGTGAATTATTCCTGTCACTAAACCATTTATTAGAATATAAGGTAGTTTAGGATTAATTTGGTTATCCACTTAAGAAGTTAAAAAAGAATAATTCATAATAATTATTTTAATTAATAATAGATATTAGAACTTAATTAAATAATTTTCTATTTTTTCTTTTTTAAAAAAAGTAGGACTCCAATTCTCAGCTTTCCATCTTCATGGAAAAGAGGTGGGTCATTGAATCAAGGGAGGGGATTTTTTTTTTCCTTTTTTTCAAGCGATTATTAGCTTTAATTGGATAATCTTTTTTAAAACAAACGAAGGATGAAATAACGTTTGTATGTTATAATCAAACATACAAACTCCAGTCTAAAAATTTATATTCATTTTAATGTATCATAATTAATATTTGTAGTTACAAAATACATGTACGTCAAAATTGTGGATGCATCAAATTTAAATTTGAAGATATCCTCCTAAAAAAATGCACACGGCTGGATTTTGACGCATTGATTAGTTGTTACATTTAGTTATTATTTATTTATTGTGCAGGTCACTCATAATTTGGAGGAGTTGACATTACGGGGTAAAGGAGCTGAGATGATAGGAAGTGGCCAGCTTTCCATGTACCACTTCCCCAAAGTAAAACTGCTTCATCTACATGTCAGTTATAAAGCAACGACTATTTCGTACAAACTGTTGAAGAGCTTTCCAAACTTAGCAAAGCTGACACTGGGGGGTCACATTGAGAAGGCTTCTGGAGGGGATGATGTTCCTCTTCCAATAAAATTGACTCTCAACTATATTTCCAAAATCACAAGCTTGGTACCACTCTTAGTTTCTTCACCAAATCTCACACATCTCCACGTGGAATGTTGTTATGAGTTGACCACTTTGATGACGTCATCAGTTGCTCGAAGCTTGGTCCATCTCACAAGTCTCTCAATTAGAAGCTGCTCTAAAATAAAGGAAATTATATGGAAGCAGGAAGGAGTGGATGATGATGATGAGGAAGCCGCTTTCAGCAAGTTGCAGTATTTGAAACTTGAACACTTACCAAGATTGAAGAGATTTTGCGGCTACAATTATACTTTCAGGTTTCCATTATTGGATCAGGTGATCATAACAAAATGTCCGAAATTCAAAGTATTCTCTCCAGGGCTCATTGATACACCATCTCTTAAAAGCGTTCTACTGGAACATCATGAAATTTGGGACACCAATGTTAACAAAACATTCTACCAACAGGTACGTCTAGAATGCTCCCTTATTCCTATTTCCAGCTTTTACAAGAATCTGAATCTATAAATGTTCCATTGTTATGATATTTAATATAAATATACCTATACATGTTTCGGTTTTGAAGTTTCTACTAAAATTTTAGTTATCATTTTTTAATTACGTAACTTTAATTACAAAACATCCCAAAAACATCCCAAAACAATTACATCATAATTAATTAATGGGATACACAGCGAAATGTTTCAGTAAGAAATGAAATTTTTTCCCCATATATACTGTTATTTATGAGGGAAAAAATAAGAGAGAGAAATAGAGTAATAACGAGAAAAAATATGAAAGATAAGATAATATACCAAGTTGTCAGCCTTTTAATTAATGCAATGTATAAAATTAATCAGAGATAAAAAGGGTGAAAACATATTAAATGTTTAGACAAATTCAAGTTGGCTCTTATAAAAAAAAACTAAGACAATTCAAATTTCAAACTTTTATAAAAAGAACTAGGGGGAGTAGTTATAATTTTTTTTAATTACATAAGTTTAATTATAAAATATCCCAAACAATTACGTCATAATTTAATAATTAATGCGATACACAGCGAAATGTGTTGGCATTATTGTTTCTTGTCGTGGCTGATATAATTATTTCTTTTTCAAGATTAATTATGAAAAATAAATGAAATCAAAATGTTTCGCACTTCTTGTGAGCGCATTTGATCTTGGGACACAATAAAAAACAAAATAATATTACTGATTCAATAAGAAGTTGCGACATAATTACTAAATTAATATTACCATGCTTCTGACTCAATATCTGCTTTACAGAGATTTGTGGCATCAAGAGAGATGGTGTTAGATGAGGATGATATTAGCATGATAAGGAATGACCAATTTCCAGCCAACTGTCTTGCTCAAGTGGAAATTCTGCGCATAGAAGGATTTGATGATGAAGGGGCAACATTTCCGCATACATTGCTTGAAAGATTTCCGCGGCTGTCTGAGCTTCGTGTGAAGGATAGTTCTTTCGAGGAGATATTCCCATCGCCAATTGTCCATCAAATTCAACAACTTCATAATTTGAAAGTGTTGAAGGTGTTCCGATGTCATCAGCTCATCTATTTAATGACAAATTCAGCCGCCAAAAGTTTGGTGAATCTTGAAACATTGGAAATAGATGATTGTGAAAAGATGGAGAAAATTGTAAAGAATGAGAATAATGACGATATGGAAGGTGGAATCACGTTCAGTGCGTTGAGAAGATTAAAACTCAAGATTCTCCCAAGATTGAAAGCAGAAGAGCATAAAACGGATTTCAACACTGAAGACCCAGCAACAAATAATCACAAGGTATGTTCAAATCAATTTACAGTAAAATACACTAACTAGCCCTGTGTTTTATCGAAGTTATAGAAACCTTCCCTTTATTTTAAAAATACATATATAAAACTCCATTAAAATTAAAATGCATGTTGTACAAACCTCCATTGTATATTTGATTTGAAATTCCATTTTCATCTATCCAACCATAAGGTTACAGTTAAGTTTGACCTTAAACTTTTATTTTGACCAAAATACCCCTCCTTCACATAAAAGTTATTTAAACATTCATTTTTTTGCAAAAATAATTTTTAATACCACAAAAATAATTTTAATACATGTATTTTCAGACTTTTTAAAATGTAATAAAATTTGTTAATTTTAATTCTATTATCAAATTTTATAATTTTAATTGTTTGTCACGCATATTGAAATTAATTTTTTAGGTTTCTTTAAATGGCTAAAAAATATGTTGAATGCATATTCTTTTCGTCATATAAGATAGATTATCTAAGTTTGATAGATTATAGAAATTATTTAAATTTATAGTTTAAAATTTTTAAACAAATGAGAAATATTTATAACTTATTTGGTCAATTATATATTTATTTAAAGAATTAACCAAATTTCCGCTCACTAAATTACGTATTTTCATTCCTAATATGATAAAAACGTTGAACAAATAACTAGCTGCAAAAAGTGAAAAAAAATGAGGAAAAGAAAACATTTTAAATTTTTCAAAACTTTTTAGCCAAAATTTAAGAATTTAGTATTATGAAGGATAAATTAGTAAATCAAAAGTATTTTAATATAAATTTGAATTAGAAAAATATTTTTTTAGAATATTCTCAATAGATTTAACTATTTGGACTTAGGTTTATGTTTTCAAAATAGAAGGAAAATTTGTAATTAGGGCAAAATACAAGGAAGGATAGAATATTTTACTCATCAATTTATTACTGTTTTTTTAGACAAAAATTAATTTTTTTCTTATCTAGTATGTTCTTTCCTCACCAAGATTTTCTTATTTTATTAACTTCTTAATTTCAAACTTATGCTGTGAAAATTAATTTCATTGGAATTATTTACTCTGTTCAGTAAAAATATGTTCTTATTTTTTCTTGTCTCGATATATCAAAAAAATTATTTCACTTAAATTACTTACTTTGGTATTAGGCTAGCTATTGTAGCATTTTATAGTTCTCTTGTTTTTTAGTTAGTTATTTCTGTTTGGTGAACTTGAAATTTGAAGTCGAACTTTTATCAATCTCTTGAAGAATGCTGTGGTACACGAGATCTATACTTACACATTTAAACAATCTTTCATGAAACTAAGCCTCGCAAGTCAACAGTAACTTTGTTTTCGTTTTTTGCCAAAAGATATTCGTTTAATTATATTTTCTTTCAACAGGTGTCATTCCCACAGTTAGAGGTATTAAGATTAGAGTCTTTAGACAGTCTGATTCCACCGATATGGGATGACAAACTTTCACACAACTCGTTTAGCAACTTGAAAACATTGACTGTGTGGTGGTGTCGCTTTGTGAAATTGATACCCCTTCATGTGCTGAAATCTTTAAACAACTTGGAAGAACTGGGAGTCTCAAGGTGTGACATGCTAGAGACGGTGTTTGATTTTGAAGATTTAAATGATTATAAGGAGATGGTGTCATCATCAGTGAGTGTGCCATTGAAAAAGTTAAGGCTACAATATTTGCCAAAATTGAAGAATGTGTTGGGCAATAATGACTGCCAAGGAGAAATAAACTTAGTTTCTTCACTAGATGGTTCATGCCATCAAATAGAAGAACTTATGACGAAACAGAAAAAAGAGGATAATGAGGACAAGACAATCATTTTCAGCAAACTGGAGTTTTTGGAACTTGATGGATTACCAAGATTGAAGAGATTTTGCAACCAATATTATATTTTCAAGTTTCCATTATTACAATGTGCCATCGTAACAGAGTGCCCTCAACTCACAATATTCTGTTCTGGAGCCATTCATGCCCCGCTGCTTCAAAAGGTTCAAGTGACGACTCCATATGGACCTCACATAGATATTTGGATGACTGATCTTAATGTCACCATCCAACATCAGTTTACTATTCAAGAGGTTAGTCCAACATACTGATATTCTTGTTTTTCTCTTTTTAAATAATTCCTCATCATCTACAAAATTTAGGTTCAGATAAATATTTGACATAAATATTAAAGTTTGGACATTCCGTCGTCTACGCAAAAATTGTAAACTTTTCATCAAATTACAAGAACTTGATTCCACGCGAAAGCTGATAAGCAAATGATAATTAATGGATGTGGCAGACTGCAAATAGTGTGATAAGGTTTGTAGATCTCTGACTGGAAAGAAATGGGCCTATAAAGTGATTCAAAGAATTTTGTTTCTGTTTAAAGTGATTTTGAGGAGGGAAGGGAGGATTAATGATGAAAAATATAAGTATTAGAAAAAGATGACTGGTCAATTAAGAAAGATTTTATCTACAATAAATATAAGAAATTATTTTTAAAAAAATTCTGACCTGATTTATTAAACTGCCTTCTTATAATAATAATTTTACCAATAATCTTTGAAGCCTAGCCCTAAATGTGAATTGCAAGGAAATTATGGATTTTTTTTTTTCAATTTAACTTAGACGAAAGAAAGGGGCTATGAAGTTAATTTAAAGGATTTTTTAAATTTTAAGGTGTGGATGTTATTTGATTTGATGAAAATTTTAGATATTAGCAAAAGATGAGTGATCCATTGAAAAGTTTTGATTCTTGAAAACAATATCGTGATGTAATTTACTAAATCACCTACTCATTATGGTAATTGTTTTACTAATTATCATTTTATAGGTAATTTCCACAACCAAAAGCATGGCTTTAAATGCAGACAATATCATGATGATAAGGGATGTCTTTCCTACAGTGAGAACTCTTTATGTAGAAAGTTTCAAGGATGAAGGTGTAACCTTTCCCCATAGCTCCCTTGAAAGATTTCCCATGTTGGAAAAGCTTTATGTGGAGCATAGTTCCTTTGAGGAGATATTCCCCCCACAAGATGAGATTATCGATTTTATGGGGAAAATCCCACCATTTGAGGAATTATACATTGCCTATTTGGATCAACTCAAGAACATATGGAAGGACGACTCTCAGCTACCACCAATTCATCAAGACTTGATAAAATGCCTGGAAGTTGAAAGTTGTCATAACTTGGTCAAGTTGGCACCATCCTCTGCTTCATTTCAAAATTTGCGGAAGCTGTCTATATCTGGATGTCATCAACTTGTCTATTTGGTGACAAGTGCAACTGCTAAAAGCTTGGTGAGTCTTGAATGGTTGGGGATAAAAGATTGCAAAAAAATGGAGGAAATTGTATTGAATGAGAACAATGAAGGTGTAGAAGGTGGAATCACTCTCAACCAATTACAACGGATTGAACTTACTGATATGCCAAGCTTGAAGATGTTCTCTTCACAAAGTCAGACATTTGAATTCCCTAAATTAGAAGAGGTAGAAATAACTGGATGTCCTGAAATGAAGATGTTTTCTTTAGGATTGTTGGAAACACCAGAGTTGTCTAGAGTAAAAATAGAAGAGCATGAGATGAAGTGGAAGGATAAAGGGGACCTTAACAAAACAGTAGAAATGCTATCCTCAGCAAAGGTATGACATACCCATACTAACAAATATTTTTTCGGAAAATGTGTTGTTAATGGCCACGGAAATAGAAAATTGATTGTATCGTGCTCATGCCAACGACGTCTCTTTTCAAAATTGCCTTCTATTTTAGGCAGCTAATATTGTGATTTGTTATTGCAGGATAGTGTTAATATATAGAAGGATAGGTCCATCATCCATGTTATCATTCTTTCCAGGTTCGTTACTTTTATGATTTTTGGCTTATCGGCTTTTTTTTTTTCCTAGTGGTTATTATGATATCAATAAAAGCCTCATACATGAGGGGGACAGGCTTGAAAATAAAAAAACTTGCATCTCTTTTTTTCACCCTATACGCCAAATATTTTCTTTTTCTTAAATTATTTGTATGTTTTTGCTACATTTGTCTGTGCTTTACTATCACTAAAAGATATGAGTTGCTTGTTGATGTTTATTCCAATTTCTTTTCCAATAGCTAGTTACTGTAATATCAACAAGTGCACCATATTAAAGGGTGAAAAGGGAAGCCATCTTTTTGTGAGTGTGTGCGTGTCTTTTTTTTTTTTTTTTTTCTTTTTACTTTTTTATATTTGTTTCTGTACATTCTCTGTGTATAGTATCGGTTGAGTTAGTGAATTGCTTTTGCCTATTTTAAAGAGATCAACTGTGATTAAGAAGAAAAGAAATAGCTGGCGTATTTCAAAAAGGATGATTTTGATAATTTGTTTACCCCAATTAGTTAACCCATGTTTTCAACTAAATATGATATATATTTACAAAATAGAATGATAAAAATAGAGGGGCTGTTTGTTTCTTTGTTTTTTTTTTCCTCAATAGTTTGATAAAATTGTTTTTTAAAACAAGTTTTGAAAAAAAAATACAAAACAAAAATCTGTTTGGTTAATTGCTTAAAAAACTGCATTTGACATAAACATACTGAGACTGGAAAGTGAAGTTTCAATGAGAACTCAAGTTTTTAAATGAGAAAAAAGCCATCAAGCGGGGGGGAAAAAAAAAGTTTTTCCAATTTTTGCAAACAAAAACAAGAAAATAACTAAAAGTTGTTTTTGTTTTTGAGTTTTTAAAAATATTTCTGTTTTTTGGTTTTTAAAAACACTTAGTTAACAACAAATTACAAAACAAGCCTTTTTATTTTTTTTTAAAAACAAAAAACGGCTTTCAAAATAAGAAAACAAAGAAGGTATTTTGACGCATTGACTACAAAATGAATTATATTTGATAACATGAATATATGTAGAATACACTCAATAGCCTTGTTCGTTTCCTTGCTGGATTAATGCAGGCGGCTGATCCAAAGTGTGGACTACAAAATCATTGACTACAAGTTGATGAATATGGACAGACACTTGTGCAGTGATGCTTTTGTTGAATTCTCAATTATTTGATAAATGAGACTCTATTTTTATCATAAACAATTGGGTGATGCATGACAAAACTCTATCCATAGCATGGTTTGTTTCATTAATGTATGAAAGACTCAGAAATTGGTGTTATGATTGTGAAGCTTTCATTCAACATCTATGTGGTTTGCTTAATTGTGTTATAAAGATTATTAATTAGTTCAATGAGATTGGTCACAATTGACCATGGAGTTCTTGATAATTCTATGAACCAATATTCATTTTTATGATCTGTGAAGGCACAGAAGAACAATAAATGAAATTAGATATAAGATTGTGTAATTGACTAGGACTTAACTGCAAGCAAGCTAGATAAGATAAGTTATTTTTTCACACCAATTTAAAAATTTAAATCATGCCAATCTATCTATTACAGGTAAGCAATAATGAAAATAACTCTACTAGGTCAATATTAAACTGTTAGCTAGAATGAATGAAATATCTAGCATTTAAATTCACCATATTCTACTTTCTTGATATCAGTTAACAAAATTACTCCCTGATGCCCTTTATTTTATCTTTCGCTTTAATGAAAAAAAGTCATTTATCACACTGAACTAAAAACCCAAAACATCATTTTCAATGAAAAAAAGTCACTTATATACTCTCTCACATGTATTAAGAATTATCCAAAAAAATAAAAAAGAAAGCTTATACGTAGACCACTATAAAGCGAATCAGTGGTGCATTTTGTACCGTCGCAAGCAACTGAAATGACAATCCTACTCGAAATCCTGATTCAGCGTGCTCGTAAAGAAAGTTAAACAAAATAAAACCAACCATTTAGCTGACTGAAATCGTGCAGTGATAACCACAACACTATTCCTTTCCACCTTTCATGATATATAGAATGGTGACTTAGCAAAACTTACTGAATAGACAAACATTTTTGTCGACGGCAATCTAAAGGACTTCAAAATGGTTGGAGGTATTAGTTTGACAGACCAAAATGAGTGGAGCTCATCACCTTCTTTCCTTCCTTTCAGTTGACCTTCTCTCCTCTGCCTCTCGTCGTTTTTGCTGCCTGTCCAACATTACAACAATGGTCATAGTATCAAACACATCTCATTCTAGAATACATAAAGAAGCTCAAAGTTATTCACAATCTCACGCAAAATGCATGTACCCATCACCAGCATTAGCAGTAAAATTGCAGCGTGAGCGGGCACAGAATCCTGCCCCACAAAGGGCATAGGATTTTTCTGATCCCCATCCACCTAAACAGGATTATTATTCATTGAAATAGTGTAAAAATTTGAAGCAAATTGCACGTGTTGGTGCATTTGTTTAAATGAATACCTCGTCCCATTTTGATTTTTTGTCCAGCCTACCATCACGATTGGTGGCCTCAGCAGTAGGAGGCATCAAAGGCAAACCACCTGAAGAGAGAAGAGAGAAAATCAGCATAAAATAGAAAATACGTAGTAAGAATGACCTTTGCCATACCATAGATAGACTAGGTTGCTTTATACCTGCAACAGGTACATTGATCCTTGGAACACCAGTTACAATTCCTGGTTGTGCTCCCCTAGAGACAAATTCAACTTTCTGGGCCTTCTTCTCCAGCTCTTTCTGGTCACTTCCACGTCTCATATCTGCCTATGTGACAGTTAGGGGTGGTAAAGCAACATCAGTATCAAGTACTTAAAGGGAGCTTGACTGCAAGACCAATCCGTCCCTATGACTTGATGGTGCTGAGAAAATATGAACAAATAACAAAATATGGCAAGACAAATAAGTTGGTTCAATTCACAATGAAAACTTAACTTCCAAAATCATGACCAACATATTCATAAAAAATATAGAAAGAACCCCAAAGCAGATATAACTAGCCATACACAGCTATGTATAGATTTTGTTTGTCCATTTCAACGTAAATAATATTATCAAAAGGATTTTTGAAGAGAAAAAGCACAATCCAACGGCAAAACATAATTTCAATATCAGGTTAGAAGACAAACAAGTTCTTTAATACTAGATATCAAGTCCGTTGTTAGTATAGTGAACAATAATAGCGTAAACAGCCCAAATACCAGCGACCAACATATCTAGAACATGACATTAATGTTTGCAAGAACACACAAGAAGTATCATATAATTGACAAAATCAGGTAAAATATGAGCATAAAATAAAAAAGTACAAGGAAGCACAAGAAAGTAGATGCAGAGAAGAAACAATTAAGCACCTATTTGGTCGTAGTAGTCACTTGGGTCAAATCTATGAGGGTCCAATACATCCTTATCAAAGCAAGATCCTATTTGGTCAATATCTTGACACCTCACAGCATGCAACAGGAAGTCAGGGTTCCAATAGTCCTTCCTATTGCGAACTACTGCATTAAAACTTTTTCCAGCCTTCTTATACTCAAGAAATTTATTTATCTTTCTCTGCTATAATAATAAAAATCATAGCACGTTGTCATGAAAGAACATCAAATGTGCAAAAGCTAAAAATAGTTTTATACAATTTTCTACTTTATCAAAAATTGAGGAAAATTATTTTTTAATTTAAACTATTACTTAAAATTGCTAAATTGCCAATGTACTAATTAAGGAGTAAAGTGAAGATCATTCAACTTCCCGTGTACAGAACGTCAAGAAGGGGGGAAGAAAATATAATAATATAAGGTGTATTCAATAAAACAGAGATGTTTAGTGGTCAAAAAACTTGATACAGAGAAGTATTGGCAAATTATCACTTTTTTCATAATTCAATGATTTAATCACAGAATTAGTAATATCTGAAATGATATGTCTTGAATTCATATTAAAAGGAACATGTTAATGAATCAAACCATAAATCACCACTTAGTAATTAAACAAGAGCAGCTGCCGAATTCATCGAATAATACCCCGCAAGATGAGTGATTTCCGCATTTTTACACCTTAAATTCAGTTTGGATGGGTAGATTCTCACACTAAAACACTTAATCAAAAATTTCAATGCCAAAATTCTAAACATAGATCACTATATTCAAGTGCTTCTACAGGACCTTAGAATTATGTATGTACGTGTAGTTTACATTACATATATGCACAATCACTAAACAGGACTAGAAGTCGTAAGAGATTAGAGTGTAATATTGCATTACAACTCTTCCAAAGTATCGCCAAATTGGTTTAATCATATTCACTAACTAACATATGAAAGTGATAAAATTAATGGATAAGAAGCTTAAGAATTTAAAGAGACATAGCAAATTAAAAGCGGAGCTCTAGTGTGGCACAAAGCAGAAAGGGAAAAAGACATCAAAATACACAAGCACACTAGCTGTTTTTCTTTTAGGGGGAGGGAGCAAACCACACCAATTCAATTCAATATATTGGCAGATATCTAAAATTTATCGAGAATAATTTATTGATTATTGCAAAATTAATCTAAAGGAATTTACTTGTAGGCACTCAGAGCATTTAACTTTGGGTGGTGGTGGGAGAAATCTATCCAATGGATCTACAAACTTCTGCTCTTCCTGAGCTGTCTCTTCATGTTCTGCACCATCTGATCCAGCCACAGCATCAACTTGCATGGTATGAGATGGCTCAGGAAACTATGGAGTGTCAACTTGACTGCTAGGTGTCAAAACCTGAACAAATCCTGATGATGCTCCATCTAGCAAATCACTTACAAAACCACATTCAAGGAAGTTCTTCAGAGGGGGAAAAACAGTGGACCAGGAGGCAAAATGATAAACAGAAAAACAAAATAAAACAATAGGATTATTCCCATCTAATATACTTCATGGAAAAGTGAACTAAAAC